ATTTTCGTAATCCTTATATTATTTTTATACCTCTTAAGCATCAAATATATTAATTACACTAGCCAATGTACACCTTAATATCTGTACTTCATCTTCATCACTGATGAGAGTTTAACAGTTACATCGCTCCTGTGTGCCAGGAGCCATCCATATCCATATTCTACAATCACAAGCAATGGGGTTTTCATTCCAGCCAGCAGGTGAGTAATGAATCTCCAAAATCCCATTTTAGAGTTGGCTTCCTTAAAACATTCCTGGTACAAACTGTATCACATTAGGTTTCTTGGAAACAGACTCTGAAATGATGATTGCACACAGGTTTACTGGGAGGTCCTCTTGAGAGATATAATCACAGGGAGTGAGAAAGATAGAACTGGGCAAAAGAAGAGATGGACCAGTGAGGTGGTTGCAGTCGAGGCCTCAGCCTGTTCTATGAGGAGTTCTGGAGAAAGGTGACCCTTCAGAGTTGTTGTAAATTGAGGCAAGATGGCCAAGTTTTTGTTTGTTTGTTTTAAAATATTTTTATTTATTTTTGAGAAAGAGAAAGAGCGAGAGAGATAGTAACATCAATGTTAGAGAGAAATATCTATTGGCTGCCTCCTGCACACCCCCTACTGGGAATCCAGCCAGCAACTTGGGCATGTGACCTGATCAGGAATCGAATTAGGATCTCTCTGTCCATGGGACTACACTCAATCCACTGAGCCACACTGGCCAGGCTGATGATTCCCTTTTAAAGTGTGGAGCCCAGAATCACACATAGTGCTCCAGGTGAACTCCGCCGTTGCCGAATACAGTGGGACTGTCACCTCCCTTGCTCCTAATTCTGTATTTCTACAATGCAGCTTCAGGTTGCTTTTACCTTGGTGGCAGTAGCATCATACCACTACATCACATTGAACTTGCAAGTAATCTTTTTCATGACTGTTATTGTTTTGTCACATCTTTATCTTCTTGCACAGTATAATGTTTAAGAATATGGGCTTTGGAGTCAGACCTCGGTGTAAACTGCTACTTGACAACTCACCGTCTGTAACCTTGGGCAACTTGCTTAACCTCCTGAACTTTCAGTTTCCTGACTGTGCAATAGCAACCTCCAGGGTTGTTATCAAGATTACACCCAGTAATGTGTTAAAGCACCTGATATAACTATTAGTTACCTAGCAGTTTTATAGGAAGGAAGTACAGCACAGCAGTTAAGAAATCAGTTATAACATCAAGCGCCATGGGATTGAATCCCACTCCTTCTTTAACTAGAAATTTAGGGAAGTTTCTCAATCTTCAGAATCCCATCTGTAAAAAGAGGGAAGATGAATACCTACAGCCTTAGAATCAGACTGCCAGATTTGGATCCTAGCTCAATTTACTGTGTGACCTTAGCTAGTTATTTAAATTTTATGGGCCTAAATTTCCTAATCTATATAAAGAAAATAACAATAGTACCCAATTTGTAGGGTTGTGAGAATTAAGTGTAAACTGCCAAAAACAGCACCTGGTACTCAAGAAATGCTCAGAAGATGTTTGCTATTAATACTAGTTGCAGTAAAATGTTCATACTGCTATTGCCTTATGAGGTTCTTATCAAGATTAAATTTAAGAATTATGCAAAGCATTTAGCAGAGTGCCTGTCATATAGTATGTGCTCAAAAAGTGGTAGCCATTCTCATTAATAAATTTTAGTTTATACTTATTTTATTATAAGTCTTTTCTAATGCTTTGTGGGTTAAGTGGAGTATAAAACAATTACCTAATTGCAGCTATACCTATTATATTTCATTGTATTAAATTTAAACCATCACTATAAAGAATGGAGATTATTTGTGACCCTGATGTTTGTCTTCTATTACAGTCTTTTATCTTTTTGGGTACCTATTATCTTTAAATTTGACAAGAATGTGTCCTGCTACAAGTAATGAATGAAAAGGTTGAAGAGGACAAACATCAAGCAGAGCACTTTCACAGTCTAATGGCTCTAAAACACATTGGAATATATTCTGGAGAGAATTGTTATGTGGCCTAATTGCTTATAGTAACAGTAGTATTACCATTTTGAAACATATACAAAGAGAAGAATAGGGAAATACAGATATTTAATGTTGTGTGAACTAAAAATTTTAATGTAAGGAAAAGGAGATAAAAGTGTAAAATCAAAGAAACTAAGTAAAAATCCTATGTTAAATTTGAAATGGCAATATTAATGTGAACTTGTGTTTTTTTTCTTTTCAAACATACATATTTTAGTTTTGTCCATTGAAAAGGTCTAGAATTAATAAACAACCCTAATACTCATTTTGTGGTCTCTAAATACTTCTTTAAAATAAAATCCTCGGAGAGTCCCTGGCTGATTTGGCTCAGCAGTTAGAGCATTGGCCTGCAGACCGAAGGGTCTCAGGCTCAATTCCCAGTCAAGGGCATGTACCTGGGTTGCAGGTTCGATCCTGGCCCCTGTTGGGGTTGTGCAGGAGGCAACCAATCAATGAGTGTTTCTCTCATATCAATGTTTTTCCCTCTCCCTCCCTCCCTCCCTTCTACTCTATCTAAAAATCAATGGAAAAATATCCTAGGTGAGGATTAACAACAACAATAAAGTTTTTGGATAAATGACTAAGTCCCGTCCTGGTTCAGGTAATATATTAGAAGAGCCTGGAATTTTTATACTAGAAAGCAAAGAAGCTAAACAAAACCAATGGGTCATGTCAAAAGACACAAGAGCCCGCACAAAGCACTCCCATTGGCCAAAGATAAGTCATTTTGAACTTTGTAATTAATACTGTGGTCCTTCAACCAGTTCCATTCTTCAGGGTTAACAAAATCATCCTCTTAACAGTAACTAATGGAACTATCAGATACTGTTGGCTGATAGCTATACCTCTCATCAACAAATGCTCTGAGAAACGACCTCAGAGTAAAGTTATCTGCCCCTTCCCCAAGGGGTAACCTGCAGCCATTGACTTGCTAATGTAGGAATACAAAAACCTGGCCCCTGTGCCTGGCAAGTGTGTCTCAGTGGATTGAACATCCTCCCAGGGACTGAGTGGTCCCAGTTTGATTCCTGGTCAGGGCACATGCCCGGGTTGTGGGTTTGATCCCCAGTAAGAGGCATGCAGGAGGCAGCCGATTGATGTTTCTCTCTCACATCGATGTTTCTATCTCTCTCTCCCTTCCTCTCTAAAAAATCAATTAAAAAAAGTTTATCACCAACACATCTGAAACTCAGCCAGAGGTGAGTGCCAAGCTGGTAAGGACTCTGAGTAACATGTCTACAGAAGAGATGTTCAAGATTGAAGAGTAGCCCCCAAAGAGGAGACCCAGCGAAGGCTAAATAGTTTAGTATATAAAGTGTCTTCGTGCCCTGGCCAGTTTGGCTCAGCGGTTGGAGTGTCGGCCTGCGGTCCAGAGAGACCCAGGTTTGGTTTCCACTAAGGGCATGTACCTCAGGTGCAATTTGTTCCCGGTCCTGGTTGGGTCGTGCGGGTGCAAGCCACTCGATGTGTCCCTTTCATGTTAATGTTTCTCTCTTTCTCTTCCTTTCTCTCCTTTCCACTCTATCTGAACAAAAAATGGAAAAATGTCCTCGGGTGAGGATTAAAAAAAAAATTAAATAAATAAATAATAAATAAAGTGTCTTTGTCGGGTAGAGAATTAGAGACAATCCAGAGGGAAACACTAAGCTGCATACATAGAGAATCAAAAAGGTGGGTTTGGCTCCTCTTAGGGAGGAAGGGCTGCCTGCTGTCTGGAGCTTTCTAGATATGAAGTGGGCTCCCCTGTAGGAGTGAATTCTTTTTCACTGACAAGAGCCCCAGGGAGCACTCAACTGTGGGTGTTAAAGACTTGTGTGTCAGGTGTTGTAGTTCATGAATTTTAGTGGGTATATGACTTACCCAGGGGAACTTGATAAAGACTGATTTTCAGGTCTCACCTTTAAAAGTATTGACTCAGTAGATCTGGAATAAGGTCCAAGAATCTGCTTTTTTAACAAGCATCCTGGTGGATCCAAACCAGGTGGTCAGTGACCACATTTTGAGAACTAATGAGACTGATAAACTCTGAGATCTCTTCCACTTATTTCACAAATACAAATTTTAATAAATAATGTGTGTGGTCAACATATGACTGTTCAAAGAAAGTTGTAAGCTTTATAAAAGATTTAAGGCAAAATTCTTTAATATGTTGACAGTTTCAAGTAGAGATGATTGGAATGCAAGATATTAGCATATGGGAGGAGATGGCTTGATTTTCAACCTGTCAAAAAGATAAGACTTTAAAAGGGAGAAGGAAGATACAGATGCAGTTTAAAAAATCTTTAAACACTTGAAATAGAGAACCCAGTCTACATATAACAAGAAGTGATTTCATGGAGACTTTGAAAAAGCTGATTATCCTAAATGACAGCATCTGTGTAAGGTTAAACACCTACCAGGCTTTGAGGCCCAGGCTTATATAAATTTCAGCCTGAAGCTAACAAAACAAGTGTGAGTGTAAGTTGGAAACTTAAAACATAGTTAGTCTTCTAACTCTCGCCCACTTTTTGTAGGGGCTGAAGAAATTTTGCTGGCAAGTATGATATGTTTGATTCATTTTAACTTTTACTTAAAACATGCAACCCGAGAGCTACATTTTAACACTATACGGTATCCTGAAATGTTTTTGCTCTCTGTAAATATGTTTTTTAAAAGTGGGGCTTGGTATAATTCTATCCCATATCAAGATTTTTTCTTTTACTTAAATGTATGAAAGTTAAAGAACATATTTATCTTTTGAAAATCATAAAAAACTGGCTAGTTGAGGAAGTGGTATTTTTGGCTATTTTGTGGATTGATAGTATTAATGTGCTTATTTCGTTATTGAGAACTAGCAAATTCTGTTTTAAATTTAAGATATATAAAATTTCCAAATAGCAATTCTATGTTGGTAAGTTAGAACCTTGTTTCTATTTAATTTCATCTTGCTTTCTTTTAATTATTGCAGACCTCCTTATAGATTTTTTTTCTTGAATCATGAGAGAAGAAATTGCAACGACAGTTTTCTTTGTGACAAGATTGGTGAGAAAACATGATAAATTGAGTAAACAACAAATAGAAAACTTTGCAGAAAAGCTGATGACCATCTTGTTTGAAACCTACAGAAGCCACTGGCACTCTGACTGCCCTTCCAAAGGGCAGGCCTTCAGGTGAGAGCGAGTCCGCTGTCGCAAAGGGAAGTGGCATCGGCAGTGACTTTGCTGGCAGTCTAAGTAATGAAAGTTTTAGGGACTCAATTTTATCCTTTTGAATGTGGGCTTGAAAGAAAGAGTCACACAGGTGACAGAGCAGTTGAATATTGTAGCACAAACCCCTTTATGTGAGGTGGATTGAGCAATTTCTAACTTGTGTTTACCATGAAAGGAAAGCAGTGAACATTTGGTGAACTAATTGTGTGAGTTAGTGACGCAACTCATATTCTGAGTTGCTGTGAGAAAAGCTGATGTTTCACTCTTATTTGTAAGTCTGGAGGGTGGGGAAAGGATGGGGAAGGAGTGGGGGAGGCAGGGGGAGGTGGGAGCGTGTGGCGGCTGCAGGAAGCCTGCAACATGATTCTCCTGCTGATGCACCTGTCACCATGCTTTGTTTCCCTTTCCTTGTTTTGAAAGGTGTATCAGGATAAACAATAATCAGAATAAAGATCCTATTCTACAGAGGGCTTGTGCTGAAAGTAATGTGGATTTTTCTCACCTGGGACTTCCAAGGGAGATGACCATATGGGTAGATCCCTTTGAAGTTTGCTGTAGGTGAGTAATCTCATTAAACGTAAGAGTTTGTTTTCTCTGACACTTGGAAACCTTAGGTTATTTGGTCGGTTCTATCCATCTTTGTGAAAGGTGATGCTCCAGAGCCCTGGGTTAGCAGTGAGGGTATATGGTTGGTTAGGATTTTAGATGCAAACTTTATGAGACAACACAGACTTCCAGTAGGAGTGGGAAGCACAAAGATTTTGCATATTTGAAATTTGATTTTAATTCCTGCATCCTATTGCCAATAGTAGGTGATAATGTCTCAGTATTATAGGCAGTATCAAAGGGGAAGAGGCGTTATCTACCATGGGTGAATTTAGTCCATTAGTTTAATCAAAAGAAACTGGTCTTTGTCTTTCTGAGCAGTTAACCAAGATGGCTCTCAGGGAATGCCCCCACTGGTTACAACAGTGTGGTAGTTGAGTTCACGTTCATAATTCTCTCAACTTGCTTTGCTGTCAAATCATTTCAATTTGTTTTTCAAAATAACTCTTTTTGTAAGTTAGTGAATTGTCTTCAGAAAAGATTAAAGATAAAACTGTGAGATGTTGAATCCCAAATGAATACTTTATTTTCCTTTCCTGCTTAGGTATGGGGAGAAAAATCGTCCATTCACAGTTGCTTCCTTCAAGGGCAGATGGGAGAAGTGGGAGCTCTCCCGACAAATCCACGACGCTGTCCACAGAGCCTCACTAGACTGCTCCTCTGGCACTTCCTCCGACGAGGAAAGTGACAGAGAGCCTCAGATAATCCCCAAAGTCAGCAATCCAAAGAGTATTTATCAGGTACAGTGTGTTCCAGTTCTTCGCTACTCTTCTATTCCTATTCTCATGCTAAAAAAAATAAGCTGACTGTCAAAGCAAATAAATAACAATTGGAAAACATAGAAAAAACAGAACGACAGAGATTAAAACCACAATATTAATATTCTGGCAAAATGTTTTTTCTGCTTTTTTTCCCCTTCTGTATATGGTTCCTCTACTTGGCTGAGTGAGCAGGATCTACGTCATCTTGTTCAGTCCCACTTTTCCATATAGTATTTGAACATAAGCTAACTTTCAACTAAATCTCTTCAGAATTAAATATTAAAACTAGTGGACTTTTTTGACAACAGAAAATAACATGCCACTCATAGGTACTTTGGAATACTAAGAAATTTTTTTTAGAAAAATAGCTCTGGTGGTGGGGTTGCAAATCTTAGAAAGATATGCATAGCTGTATATTAGAAATAGTTTAATGAAACAATGCTCATCCTTGCTAGGTACAATGACTCCAACACTCAGAATTAAATTAAATTGATTTCAACCACCTAAATTGATTTCATGACTCATTAATGGGGGCAACCCTCAGTTTGAAAAACACTGATAGAGAGAGATCTGTGCTGACACTTTGTTTTTTGTTTGTTTCTTTGTTTTTTTAATCCTCACCCAAGGACATTTTTGCATTAATCTTCAGATAGAGCAAGAGGGAGAGAGGGAGGAAGAGAGAGAAAGAAACATAGACTGGCTGCCACCCACATGACCCTAACCAGGGCGGGGACAAACTGCAACTGAGGTACATGCGCTTAGCAGGAACCAAACCTGGGACTCTCTGGTTCACGGGGCGATGCTCTAACTGCTGAGCCAAACCAGTCAGGGCTGTGCTTACACTTTGTATGCATATACTTGTTGGTATGTTTTCTTAAAATAAGCACTTATGTTAAAGCAATTTAAATATTTAAATTTTTAATATTAATTTTATTCCTAATAATTTACTTAGTTAATCTATCATTGGAAGATATGTATCTATACTGTTTCCACATTGTTGTGATATAAAAAAAGCTGATAGCCCTGGCCAGTTTGGCTCAGCAGTTAGAGCATTGGCCCGTGGACCAGGAGTCCCGGGTTTGGTTCCCGCTAAAAGTACATACCTCAGTTGCAGTTTGTCCCCAGCTCGGTTGGGGTCATGCGGGTGGCAACCAGTCGATGTATTTCTTTCACATTGATGTTTCTTTCTTTCTCTTCATCCCTCTCTCCCTCCCACTCTATCTGAAGATAAATGCAAAAATGTCCTCGGGTGAGGATTAAAAAAAAAAACAATGCTGACTTATATAGAGATGTCTGAATTTTGAATTATTTCTTGAATTATTACTGGAAGCTTGATTCTCAGACATGGAATTACTGGGTCATTGGATATGAACATTTTATTCATTCTCAATATATGACCAAAGTACCTTCTTAGAAAGTTGTATTTATTTGTAGTCTAACCAGCTTTATGTGAAATTGTTTACAACTTTTCTTAAAATTGAGTATTCTCACTTGAAATAGTTTTCATAACAATATTATTATATATATTAATTAAATTTAAAAAATTAAAACTCTCCATGTTCCCAAAAATTTATTTACTGTCTGAATGAATTTTCCCTTCATCCACTTATCAATTGAGGTCTGAATGTATTATTATAGACTCTTCAAACTTACGAGTATTTTAACCTTGTCATAATTACCAGAAAATATTTTTTCTCTAGCTGGTTTAGTTTTCTAAACTATCTATATAGTTTATATATAGTTCTATATGTTTAAAAGTTTAAACTTATGTACTGAAATATTTACCCTTAATTCTATTTTTATGCTTAGAAAGGTCATCTTCCATCTAGGGGTCAGATCTATAGTCAACTATATTCTTCTAGAGCAATATTCTTTCAAAGTATAGTCTGTAAAACATCTGTATTGGTCATGTGGGATGTTTGAAATGGATATTTCTAGCCTCAGCCCCAAAGATCATCACTGGACAGTCTGGGGTTCTGCCACTGAGATGGGGTGAGTTAGAGAATGCAAGAATATGTAGAAATCTGCATACATATGATTTAAAAATTTTTAGTTGAATTAAAAAGTTGTTTTTAAAGATATGAAGTTGACTTACCTCATATACACCCGCCAAATGCCAGCCAATTTTCCATAGATGATTATCCACTTTTACTTTTCTTCATTTGTACTTCCTATACTTTTAGAAATTTTAAGTTTTGTGTTATAAGTTTTATTTAATCCTTAGTGCTAGCTTATTAGTTTAGAAAAGATCTTTATACCACCTTTTTTTTCTTTTTTTCTCCAGGTTGAAAACTTGAAACAGCCCTTTCGATCTTGGTTCCAAATCCCCCACAAAAAGAACATGGTGGATGGCCATCTGGGCCTCCTAGGAAATGCTTGCCATGTGTTGCGTAAGAACCCCAAGGCCCACAAGTCTGTTTCCCTGTGCCGGGTGGACAGGTACCACTGGGTCAACACAAATCGGTAATGCAGTGGGACAGAGCTCAGCGAAGCCACTTTGTTTTCTCCAAAACAAAACTAGTCTAAGGTTGAGAGGCTCATGAAACAGAAAGAATAACCACGTTAGAGACCAGAGTGCATGATGGTGAATCCTCACACAAATGATGATGATGTTCTTAGCTATACTTTTAATTCTTATTTAATTTTATATGAAGTTTTATGTAACACTAAGGAATGTAACCATTAAGGTAATAGAATGAAGATATTAACCTGTAATAAATTATCAATGAATTATGAAAAGTAACAGTTTAAATAAAAGTATTGCGTTTTTAATATAGTCCTCATTCAGTTTGTTGCAAGAAAATTTTAAGAGGTTGTGTTTATTAGCTGTTAAAAAACAAAAGGAAACTAGATCTTCACTTGGGAAAAGTGGCCCTTGTAATATAATTTTCTGCTTCTACTTTATTACTTGTGGTCACTTTTATTTCATAAGGCCAGTGAGAGCTTGTTTTACTTTATTTTATATATTTATTTTTTTTAGAGATACATGGAGTGGTTGCCACCCACACGACCCCAACTGGGGCCAGGGACAAACTGCAACCGAGGTGCATGCCCTTAGTGGGAACCGAACCTGGGACTCTGGTCCACGGACCGACCCTCTAACTGCTGAGCCAAACCGGCCAGGGCAAGAGCTTGTTTTAAAATTACTCTTTGAAATATATAATTCCCTTTTTAAAAAATTGTTTTATTTCGAAACCTCTTAATGGACTTAATAATTATGACTTTTTTTTTTTTATAAGAGTGGTACATGCTCATCATAAAGGATTCAAGCTAAGCAGGAAAACACATCACAAAGAAAATAAAAATTACTCACATCCAGCCAGAAATTACCATTATTAACATTAAATGGTGACCAACTTTCCAGTCATCCTCTTCTATATAGAGATGAAAGAATCTTTATACTGACACTTTAATAAGAAAATCATACTACAGGAGCTACTTGTTAAATATTTGGATTTAATTTTACTTGGTCTTAGCAAAACGAAGAAACCTGAATTGAAACAAAGAATTGTTCAAATATTCATTAGCTTTTCTATCACAAAGTATTTTTTTCCTGAAAGACTTCTTTATGGTTTTTTTAAGAAAGAAAAACACCAGGAGGCTGGAACAGTCTTCAAAACTTAAAAAAAAAAAATGCTTTATGCAGTATTGATTATTTGTTGCTATGTAAGCTGCAGAAATTAGCACTCTTATTTTTTATCTTTGTCTTTTTTTCCTATGTCATTTTTTAAAACTGAGGTGTAATTTACAGGTGACATATTATTTTCAGGTATACAACATGATCTGGATATTTGTATACTTTGTGAAATGATCACCACAATAAGTCTAGTTAACATCCATCACCACACATAGTTAAAAATCTTTTCTTCATGTGATGATAACTTTTAAGATTTATTCTCTTGGCAAATTTCAAATGTGAGCTTTTCAATGTCAGGGTTTAACATATATGTTTCGTCCTAAAACAATTATTCCTATATTTTCAATTATTCCTATAGTTTTTTCTTATTTCTAAGGTTTAAACTGATGCAGTGTTCAATAAACTTTTCTATATGTGAAATCTATTCTGATTCATCTTTGGTTAGCTGGATTTTATTGTTTATCAGTTTTTATTTTTTTATGAAGTTAATTAATTTTTTTAAAATCCTCACCCAAGGATATTTTATTATTTATCTTCAGATAGACTGTGAGAGGGAGAGAGAGAGAGAGAGAAACATTGATGTGTGAGAGACACATTGATTGGTTGCCTTCTGCACAACCCCGACCAGGGACCTAACCACAATGAGGTACATGCCCTTGACCAGAATTGAACCCAAGACTCTTTGGTCTTCGGGCCAATGCTCTAACTGCTGAGCCAAACTGGCCAGGGAAGCTTTTCTTTTCTTTTTTTTTTTTAATTAAACTTTTAAAAGATAAAAACCAAATGATCATGTCAATAGATGTTAAAAAAGCATTCAACAAAATCCAGCACCCATTCCTGATAAAAAAAAAACAATAAACAACTCAGCAATGTGAGAATAGAGGGATCATATCTTGACATAATAAAGGACATATATGAAAAACCTACAGCCAACATCATACTCAATGGACAAAAACTAAAAGTGTTTCCCTTAAGAACAAGACAGAGATGCCCACTTTCACCACTCTTATTTAACATAGTACTGGAAGTCTTAGCCACAGCAATTAGACATGAAGAAAAAATAAAAAAAGATCCAAATTGGAAAGGAGGAAGTGAAACTGTCATTATTTGCAGATGACATGATATTCTATTTAGAAAACCCTAAGGACTCCATTAAAAATCTACTAAACTTAATAAACAAATTTGGCAAAGTAGCAGGATACAAAAATTAACATCAAGAAATCGATGACATTCTTATACACCAAAAATGAACTCACAGAAAGAAACTAAAAACACAATCCCATTTACCATTGCTGTAAATAAAATTAAGATACCTAGGAATAAACTTAACCAAAGAAGTAAAGGACCGGTTCTGAAAAACTACAGGACTGAAAAAAGAAATAAAAGATATAAAAATGAAGTATACACCTTGTTCATGGATTAGAAGAATTAATATGATTAAAATGTCCATACTACCCAAAACAATCTATAGATTCAATCCCCATTAAAATACTAATGACATATTTAACTGAACTAGAAAAAATCATCCAAAAGTTTATATGGAACCAAAGAGGACCCTGAATAGCCACAGCAATCTGGAAAAAGAACAAAGTAGGAGGGATCACAATATCAGGTTATACCACAAAGCCAGTGTAATCAAAACAGCCTGGTACTGGCCAAGAACAGGCATATAGATCAGTGGAACACAACAGAGAACCCAAAAATTGACCCAAGACATGATGTTCAATTAATATTTGACAAGGTGGCAAGAGCATACAATAGAGTAATGATAGCCTCTTCAATAAATAGTGTTGGGAAAACTGGACAACTACATGCAAAAAAAATTAAACCAGACCACCAACTTACACCATACACAAGAATAAACTCAAAATGGATAAAAGACTTAAATGTGACTCGTGAATCTATAAAATGTAGGCAAAAAATTTCAGACATCACAGGCAGCAGAATTTTCACTGATTCAATGCCTAAGGCAAGAGAAACAAAGGAAAAATTTAATATATGGGACTACACCAAACTAAAAAGCTTCTGCACAGCAAAAGAAAAAAGCATCAAAATGGAAAGGGAACCCACTATGTGGGAGAACATAATTGCCAACAATACATCAGATAAGGAGTTAATTTCCAAAATATAGAGTACTCATACAACTCAACAAAAGGAAGACATAAAATCCAATTAAAAATGGGCAGAGGACCTAAATAGACACCTCTCCAAATAGGACATACAAATGGCCAAGAGACACATGAATAAATCCTCAACATCACTAATCATCAGAGAGACGGAAATTAAAATAACTATGAGGTATCACCTCTCACGTACCAGAATGGCTGCCATCAGAATATCATCAGACAACAAGTGCTAGTGGAAAAAAGGAATTCTAGTACCCTGGTGGTGGGAATGCATACTGGTGCAGCCTCCATGAAAAACAATATGGTGTTTCCTCAAAAAATTAAAAATTGAACTTCCAGTTGACCCAGTGATCCCGCTTCTAGGAATATACCCTAAGAAGCCTGAAACACCAATCAGAAAGAATATATGTACCCCTATCTTCATAGCAGCACTATTTAAAACTGCTAAGATCTAAAATTAGCCCAAGTGTCCATCAATAGATGAGTGGGTAAAAAAAGCTGTGGTACATATGCACAATGAAATACTATGCAGCTGTAAGAAAGAAAGATCTCTTATCCTTTGAGATGACATGGAGGGACCTGGAGAATATTATGCTAAGCGAAACAAGCCAATCAGAGAAAGACAAATATCACATGATCTCACTTATTTGTGGAATATAATGAACAAAATAAGCTGGTGAACAAAACAGACCCAGAGATGTAGAATTAGAGTTCAGACTGACAAATTTCAGATGAAGGGGATGGGGGAGAGGGACAAGATAAACCAAAGAACTAATATGCATATGTGCATAACAAGTGGACATAGACAACAATGCTGGGGGTGGGGATTGGGAGGAGGGTGTCAATGGGAGAAAAAGGAGAAACATCTGTAATAAAAATAAATAAATTTAAAAAATAAAATAAAAGATACAATGATTGCAATAAATAAATAAATTAAATTAAACTTTTTTGAGAGAATTATAAATTCACATGCAATTAAGAACTAGAGAGATCCTGTGTACCCTTTACCCAGTTTTCACCAACAGTAACATTTCGTGAAACTAGACTGTAATATCCCAACCAGGTACAGAACATTTCCATCGCCTACAACTATCCCACTTGTCCTTTTATAGCCATGCCCACTTCTCTCTCACTCTCATCCCTTTCTTAACTCCCTTGACAACAACTAATCTGTTTCCCATTTCTACAATTTTGTCACCTCAAGAATGTTATAAATGGAATCATATGTAGGAATTGGCTTTTTCACTAAGCATAGCTCTCTGGAGATTCACCCAGGTTGTTGTATGCATTAGTAGCTTGTTTTTTATTATTGTATGTCATGGAATGAATATACCAAGATTTCTTTAACCATTTACCTGTTGAAGGATGACAACTGGGTTGTTTCTAGTTTGGGGGATTATTAATAAAACTGCTATAAACATTCATGCATAAGTGGGAACATAAGTTTTTGTTTCTCTAGGGTAAGTGTCTAAGAGTGCAATTACTGGGTCTTATAATAGTTGTATATTTAGATTTGTAAAAAAACTGCCAGACTGTTTACAGAGTGGCTGTACAATGTCATATTCCCACCAGCAATGTTAGTGATCTAGTTTCTCCATGTCTGTGCCTACCTTCGGTTTTATCGTTTCACACTTATCAGAATGGCTTAAATAAAATAAAATAAAAAGTGTCACATCATTTTAGTTTTAATTCACATTTCCTTGA